AAACTGAAACAAAATAAAACAAAGCTTTAAGGAAAAAAATAAATTAGTACCTTTTTTATGTTCTAAAAACTGTAATATACTTTTAACTTCTCTCAAATCCACAAATTATTCCTTGTCCTGAAAATAGTGTGTCTCATTTGAAGTTATGGAATTGAACCCAGAGCTTCATGCATGCTAGGCAAGCGTTCTGTAAGTGAGCTGTGTCCCCAGCTCAAAAAATGACCCAGGAAGTTTTTGACTGAAAACTCTACAGCTGACAGCAACTAGCTGGGGTGTCAGCTCATACCACTCATCTTATCCATACTGTTTGTATACAGTCTTTTTGTGTTGGTCAGGCTCTTCTGTGACCTCATGCCACTGTGAGTACTGAGTCTACTTTCTTTTGTCTGAAAATATGCTGATCAAACATTGAAAATTGTCACATATATAGCTTCTGACCCCAAGTCCACTCCATATACAAAATGTGAACTTTACCTTTCATTCTTTTGCTCAGAAATATTTAGTTATTCCTTATTTTTACCTATACCATTGACTTGCTAGGCCTTTTATAATCTGATTTCAATATACTTAGGTATTTAACTGCTTTTTAGCATTCACATTGTTCTGCAACTATCAACATCATCCATTTCTAAACTTTTTCCTCATTCCACAGTGGGATTCTGTGCCTGGTAAACTGCAACTCCACACTACCTTTCTGCAACACACCCCCTAAATATTATCTGACCTTCTGTCTGTATTAGATACCTAGTCTAGGTATCTCATATAAATGGGTGATCTTTTATTTTTTGAGGTAACAATTTTTATTTAAACAGCAAAATAAGAAAATTTAATCTAAAACATTGATAGAATAAACTTGGAGATTTTAAAAAATATGTAATTAACATTGGAATGCATGTTTGCAAGCACAGATGAAAGGCACTACAGTAATAAATAATGAACATTATAACAGAAGTGGTCACTACAAAGGGTTTTCTTTAAAAAAGCTCTGTATGAATAAAATTAGGACACATGCCTTCATACAATCATTACTCACATAAAGTCTAAATAATGATGCAACCATATTCATGAATATCATAGGTGTCTGTGATATAAGTAGATTGCTGGGTTCCAACCTTGACTTTGCTCCTACTTTGCCAGTTGGCCTGGAGTTAAGGCTGTCATTCTTTCAAGTCTCTTCTGTCTTCATCTGCCTTTCCTACATCATACGGTTCATGTGAAGATCAAACAAGATAATCAAAGTGAAAGGCCTTTGAAAAACACAAAGCCCTGTAGAAATAAATGCAAGGCATTATTAAAGGCTGTGGAGAGATTGCTAACACATTTTGATTCAAGGCCAAAGTTTTGTATTTTTAAAAGTTAAAAAGATATTCAGGATTTACAAATTTTTTTAGAAAGCCAAATTCTTGCTTTGGTGACATGTATCACAACTGAATGGTGTTCTAAATGCTGTATATTTGATACCTACTGCTTTAGTCATCTAACCACATTACCACATGAGATGTAATTATGCAACATTTCAGCAATATGTGCAATTTTTAGTGGGTAAGAAGTTATAAATCCACATAGTATAAAAACAAAGTCATGTCTTTAAAAGGAAAATTCTTTTACTTTTCTATGGTGGCAAAATTGCTGCTCTCAGCAACACATCACCCATGATGCCTGCCAATGCAATTTAATAAGCATTTATTGCCTGCCTATGGAATACAAGTCACTTGGGATAGAAATAAAATGGAGGAAATGATGGAAGTTGTGAAAAGAAATGTAAGGGGAAGGCTCACTATGAAATGGGTAAACATTAAAACAAGCAGGTACAACTTTCCACATGGAATGTAAACATTACGTACTACATACATGTACTAATAAACTAAAAAAGAAAATTATATTCAGTTTGAAAAATTAAAAAGAAAACAAAAACAAATAACTAGTGGAAAGTAGCAGATTATGTGACAATAAACTATAAAGACAAAAAGCAATCAATCAATACCAAGAAAATGCTTGAGGAATGTACCATGGGAATGGAAAAGTTTGCAAGGAGAGCAAAATCTGGTGATATTTGGCCCCCAGCCTTGATGCATGAGGATTCCTTGAGTCAGAATTTAAGGAGAGGATAAGTCTGAAGGAGGCATACCCTGCTCATCCCATCTACAAACTAGCATTAAACTAAATTTAGCGGCATGCCTGCCTATGACAATATAGCAATGTCACACTTCAGCACTGTTAGAGGTTTAATTCCAGATTCTCTTGAAGACAACAATCTTTTGGCATCCTGCATTTTCAAGAGGGGGATTCAGAGTGTCATACACCATCCTGAAAATACTACTCCATTTTATTTCAGGTCCATAGAGAAGCCAGAATTTTATGCTTGTTCAGATGAGGCTTCCATATTTAACCCACTCCTCTAGGCTCTTGCTCCACCTGCAGGCTACTGGACTCACTTTAACTCTTCATCCCAGTTAGTTTTCATAAACTCGGCATTAACCTTTACATTTATCCTTGGTTTTCTTCCAGGATTATATTGCCCTCTCCCCAGATATTACAGTTAAAATATTAGTTTCATTCCAAATATGCTATTCTTTCAACTTTATTATGCTACTAACTAATATTTATTGAACTCTTACCTTGAATCAGGCAATGTGTGAAAAGTATTACAATGTTGTCTCTTCTGCATGAGGACAACTAAGAATATTATTTGTATTTTATAGAAGAATAGTCACTGTTATGGTTTGTGTCTAAATGTTCCCCCTAAAGCCACATGCAGTCATGGGGGGCAGATTCCTAGAGTTTGTGATTGATTCAAGGTTCAGTTCTGGGATTATGGGTGTGACTGCTACATTCACCCCTGAGTGGGGAGCCTGCACACAATATAAGGGACAGAAAGTGGTTTGTTGCACTGTCTTGCTCTCACTCTGGCTCTTGCTCTATTATTGCTTTTGCTCTCTTCCACTGCCTTTTAACTGTTGCCGCTGCGCCATGCCACTCTTCTTGGAGCCAGCCAATTATAGATTGAAACTTCCATAAATGGAGAGCTAAACAAATCTTTCCTTCCTCAATTTTGGTCATTGGATATTTTGACCCAGCAATGAGAGAAAAGTAACCAACAATCACTAGCAGGGGTTTAGTAACTGGTCCAAAATCATGCAACTAAATTAAAGGTGGAGCCAGGGTCTATGTCTGTACCTTTAATCCTGCACCGCACTATCCTTATCTCTGTACCTTTCCCCTCATGGAATTCTGTGAGATTAGTGTCACTCACATGCAAACCATTTTGAAGCAGGGCATTTCCGTATAGGTTAAATGGAGCAGGCCACTGATGGTTTGGTATGACCATGTTAACTAAGGCTTATTCAGCACTCTCTATATGCTATGCTGTGTACTAAGCACATATATTTTCTCTTTTTAATGCTCATAGCCTGAGAGAGGAACACAATTACTGCCTTTTTAACAAATGAGCAAATTGAGGCACAAAGAGTTTGAGTAATTGGCATAAGGTCCTAACAGAAACTGATGGGGCCAGTTTGTAGCTTTTGGCCATTTGACATCAGAGCTTTGAGTTTTAATCTCTGAGCCATACAAGATTTGAATAAGCTGGGAGCCCTCAAGAAGACCTTACCTCAAAATCTCTCCTCATCTACCTCCTTCAAAGCCTGAAATCAGGATCTCAAGACGTTTCCTAGTGATTAGGTGTTGCTTTTGTTTCTAGAATAGCAGGGACACTGGGAGTATTGAGCTGAGTGCCTTCAAAGCCCTGTACCAGGTGATAAAGGCATCCACAGATGAGCAGCACCCAGTGCCTGTCCTCCAGAGCAGGGTAAGAAGATGGTCAGCACAGCAGGAGCAATCAGCAATGTAAGTGAGGTACTAAAAGCATCAGAGGCCCCACTGCCTTGCTTAAAATCATTCACCAGCAGCCATCAACAGGATACAGCCACTTCCTTCAAGACAGGCGTGGCTGCTCTCCAGTGTCTGTCTACTAATCTCCTTAGTTTCCTCTCTGCCTCACTGTTACATACTGCAATAGCCATGATCTATGGTAGAAGTCTCCATGTCTACATTTGCCTCTGTGTACCCAGTACCCTTTAACCCCTTCCATCTTACCTAATTTGTAGATCCTCTTTTAGACCTTCCTTAGTCATACTTTTTTTCTGCTGTGTGTGTATGCACACATGCTCAATGAATGTCTTGTATAGCACTTACAACTAGTTGGAATGATTTATACATTTGTCAGTAAAGGCAAGGTGAGTGGCTTGGTCCTCTTGCATCCTGAATACTTTCCAACAGAACATATCAGACTCTCAAAGCTTGGGTAAAAGCTAGAACACACACCTGTGTGTCCTATAGTGTAAGGACTGCTAGGCCAGGTTAGCAGCCCTGCACTTTGTCATAGTGGGGCTTTGGGGGGTCAGGCTTTGAAGTAGGGGAAGGAAGCACTTTGGAAGAACCAAGGCCAGACCTGGGCCAAAGTCAGCTGGATGAACAACACTGATCCCAGAGATGATGAGGAAGGAGACCTTGAGGTTCAGAAGTTTGCCTGGGGCTGGCATCAGTAAGACAAAAGTTTGCCATGATACACTGCTTATGGGTATGACTGCTTCCCCAATAGCCAGTGCCTTCGGAAAGCATACTTTCTGGGCACATGCCAGCCACTGGACAGTACATATTTATTGTAGATACTTTAAAATCATAATTTTATTTAATCTCAACAACCTGTACATGAATGGCAACTGATGTTGCTGTGCGTGGTCGGCATCAGTGGCCCTTTCCTTGCAGGGTCGCTGTCCCCACTCATGTGGAGGGGGTGCCTCCAGGTCCAAGTTCTGGGGCTCCAGCCTCCCTAGTGCAAAGGGTCAAAAAATAATTATTTTTTATTTGTACAAAAACAATTTGTTTAGGGGAAAGATACACTTGTGGAGGCCGAGAGAGGTGAAAAGCAGCGGGGGGGGGGGGGGCAGGAGGGGAGGGGAGGAGCGGGCGCGCGGGCGGGGCCCTGGCTGTGGCCAGAGCAGCCTCACGCCTGCCCTGCCCCGGGACCCTGCGCCTCGCTGACAGCAGCGGAGACACCTGGGCCGCCCCGCCAGCGAGCGAGGCAACGCAGCCGCCCGCGCCCCGCCGCGAGGGGAGGCTCGCCGCGCCCCGCCTGGAGGAAGGTAACGCACCGCGCCGGGTTGGGGACACCAGCCGAGGCTGGGGCACAGGACGCGAGGCGGTGGGATGCCTTCCGTGCCAGACGGGCAGCGAATCACACTAGCGCCATCGGCTCGCAGTGCTGCCTTCTCGGCCCACGGGGCTGCGTTACCTGGAGAACTTTCTTTCCTTCTCTGGGTCTCCGTTTCTGTTAAATGAGGGAGTCGGTGTGGGATGATGCTCTTTAGTCTTCTGAGCCCAAAGACGCGAACTGGTTTTGACACCTGACAAACTGTCTTCCTCAGTTTCCCACTTCTTCAGAAGCCACCCTCGCTGCCCACGACGCCCAGTCTCCGCGAAGCTAGGGTGTCGGCGGGGGAGTGCAGCTGAGCTGCCGCGTTTCGGGGGGTCCCCCGGGTGTGCCCAGATAGCGCCGGTTCCTAGGTGGGGTCACGGGAAGGAAAGGCACCCAAGGGTTCTCCTTTGAAAATAAGCAGATTTGTTTTGGATTTTTTTCCTCTACACCCCAGACCTTATCCCGCGGAAAATGTAGATCACAAGAGAGGTTTATTATCTTTCAAAGTGGAAAACCTATTGCTTCCGTGCTGAGACTACTCCACTAGCTCGTAGGAAGTGGGTTTCACGCTCTCCGCGCCCATCCTGCCTCCTCCCTCTTCCTTTTCCTTTCTCTTCTCCGAGTTAATCCCCCTTGACTTTGAGGGGCTGCACTTCCTGCCTTGAGGAAAAGTTTTATTTTCATTTCATAGTGTCGGTTGGTAACTAGCAGCCTCCTGGCGTTGGGCTCTGGTTGACATGGAAGCAGATTCTCTTAGCTCGTTGAAAAGACAAGTTTTCTGTTTCTTCTTTGTAAGAGAGAATCTTCTTAGTCTAACACTCTGAGTAACTACTTTGAAGATGATACACAGTGTATTATTAGTCTCATTATTTTGTAATGAAATTTTGTTTTAATGTTTCATTTAAAAAAAAAAAAAACCTCCAAGTCCCACCGAGCTTCAGATAGACGGGGGAGGAGGGGAAGAATTCTAGCAGCCCTCCAGCTTCTGTCCTGTGGTCAGCCAGTCCCGCCCCAGTCCCGCCCCCACTGTCAGCGAGATGGAAGAAGATGACTGAAGTTGCTGAGGGCTTTGATGGGTTTCAGGAGATCAGGAGCACTTCACTCTCCTCAACTGCTCTCACGTTTGTAGTTCTTCTGCCCATCTCACCTGTTGTGTCCAAAGCTAAATCAGATTCCAGGACTCATCAAGAGTGACAGGAAGGAGCAGAGCAGGTATAGGGAAGAGAACAGGGCAGTGTTGACTTCTGTCTGTCACTTACTATGGGCCAGGCACTGACTGTTCTACATGTAAAATTCTCACAAAGGGAAGGTAGTACTGCACTGTGCAGATGGAAACTGAGGCTCAGAAAGATCACTGCTCTGTCACATGCTTAGTAAGTGGCATCTTGGGGATTGAAATTTAGTCTCTAATTCTAAACCTGTGTTATTTCACTTTTTTTGAGCTTCTTGAGTAAGGGCAATCAGTCTGGAAGAAGCTAACATTATAGCACCTGGCTCTTACCAGGTGTTAGCTATTGCTCACAGTATCTTAGTGGTGATGTGTCATTAATGGTGCAGGGACTTTGGTATCATAGAGAGATCAGCGAGGGCCTTCCTGACTCAGCAGTGGGACTGTTCCAGAAGGCCAGCCTGATCTCACCCAGCTGCCGGTGTGTGGGTGAAGGCAAGGCCCCTGTTTGCTTTATCCTAGAAGTGGTTTAGAGTCTAATAAAAGATTGATTGTCCACATCTGATCCGTTAGACCTGACCGTTGGCTTGTGAATGATCCCACTGTCCCCTAAGAGGACTTTTTCTGACTTCACTCAATAAACATTTGTGGAATGAATGAATTAGCACCTTGTGCAGAGTGGTCTGCTGCCCCAGAGAAATAGGAAGCAGTTTGGGGGCGGCTGTGCTCTGTTTTCAAACCTATAGTGCCAGGCTATGCTGTTATACCCCTGTGGCCCTGGAATTCCTTGTTTAAAAGTTTGCTGCCACCTGTTTTTATGAAGAATTTTTCAGGAAACAGCACATGAAGCAAATGTGCTGACCAACCAACCTGAAAAGTGACTTGTTAATGCTAAGGTGGCTACCCTCTCAAAAAGGAGGTAGGAAAATAAGATGGTACTCCTGGCCTTAGGGCTTCCCATACTTCTTTGTGGAAAAGGCCCCAGCAGGAAGAAGACAAGTGTTTGTGGGAATTGGGATTGGGATTTTGGCTCCAGGAAGCTTGAAAACTACTTTAGGGACTTAAGTTCAGTTTTTCATCTGATCTGTTGATATGTGGATTTCAGTTTAAATATATAAAATATTTTCACCAAAATATTTTAGTAAAATTGGTGTCCTAGCAAATTGTTTTATATTCTTAGTGTCTGGGGATACTCAAAGGGAGAAGCAAGACAAAGGTTTTGGTCTGGGAGCTTACAGTACTTTGTCCGTTTTCCATTCTCTGGTTCACAGGAATGAAGCTTAACTCCGGGGAGAAATGAAGATGAAATGCAGATTATTCTTAACAACAGTAATTAAATTGATACATCTGTACTCACAAATAACTGATGCAGAACTTGGGACATAGTTTTCTGAATCTTTTTTTCTGTGTAAATTTAAAATGAATACATTCCTTAGTTTTGATTGAATTCTTATCAAAATTAAGGTCCATCGAATATTGTTTTGAAAGAATATAGAAAATAAATGATAAAATAATGAAAATCATATGAATTAATCCTGTTTGTGAGCCACAAGTTTAACCCTCCCCTAAACTGACGTTTAGTCTTCAGAGAAACTTGTCAAGCTGCGAGACTGCAGCTAAAGCTATAGAGTCAAGATGAGCTCCTTGTTACATGTCCCAAATGTAACAGAATAGATATAGAACAGTTATACTCAGAAAATGCAAAAGCTTCTTTTGAAAGTGAGAATAGGAGGTGCTTAACCAAGGTTTTCATGCTAGTACTGTATTTCATTACCTGTGTGACCTTGGCCAACACAAGTAACTTCTCTAAGCTGATTTTTCTCACCTAAATTTGAGGTTAGGAGCCTTGTGTTAATTAGAGTTCCTTTTCTAATACTTGAGATAATTAGTTTATAGTTTTGGTCAGTTGGGCCTATGGACACACAGAATGTCATGACAGGGAACATGAGGCAGAGGAACCTGCTCACCTCTTGGCAGTCAATAAGGCAGAGAAAGAGACAGGTGGTCAAGGTTCCAGTGTCCCCTTCAAGGGCACACCTCTGCTGACCTAACTTCCTTTCACTAGGCTCCACCTCCTGAAGTTTCCACCACTTCCCACTAGGGCACAAACCTTCAACGAATGAGGCTTTGGGATATTTTAGATCCAAACTATAACATTTCCCCTACTAGAATCACCATGAGGACCAAATGGCATGTGGTATCACTTGTTACTTGAACTTCACGAAAGTCTGTGCTGCTTAAAAATGTTTAAACGTAGACAGTTCAAAAGTGTTGTGAGACTTTATAAAATGTTGTAATCAAACTCTTGACAGCGGTAATAGGACTAAATTGTGATATAAATTTTCTGTTGGAACTTTACCTGAAGTTTTTTTCCCAGAATCTAGGATTCCTAGATGGTGATCTTACTTTATGTTAGTCCTAATCAGAAGAGAAAAGAAGATAGTGCCCTTTGCTAGGATAAAGACAAGCTTGCCATTCAGGGAACTATTTGTTTGCACAGGGAGTTCCTGAAAGTTGTCCCTAGTCACCTTAGGCAAGGCAGAGGCGTTGCTAGGAGGAAGCAGTAAGAACACCTGGAAAGGCGGTGAGTCCCTAGGGGCCATGGTGAGTGCCTTCAGCCAGTTCTTCAGAGGGGGCTCACAGGTATATCCCCTTCCCCTGGCAGCTTGGGAACCAGTGGATCCTGTATTGGGACGCAAGTGACTTGGCTTCTATCTCTGCAACTGCCAAGACGATTTGTAATAAATGAGGTTAGTCACATCTTTTGAGCCTTAGTTTTGTTAACTATAAAGTTAGGGAGTTTGCTCACTAATGGTTTCTTCTAGTTTTAAAATCTGTTATTTTCCATTTTGTCTGCTTAAATGAGAGTCTAATAGAGAATTCCATATCTAGTTGACTTAGGTGTATTAAAAAGTGTTCCTACTTTTTGTTGTTTGGAGCTTTTGGTAACTTGCTCATGATTTTTTTTTTTTTTTTGAGACAGAATCAGGCTGGCCTTAAACTCACTATGTAGCCGGGGTTGGCCTCAAACTCCCAGTGATACTACTGCCTCAGTGTCCTGAGTGCTAGGCTTACAGGTATGTGCTACTCTGCCTGGCTGGCACTCATGATTTTCTAAATGTCTCTCCACTTGACTGCCCTCCATAGATCATAGAGGAGTTGTTTCTACTCATTTGCTGTTAATCTAGCACCTCCACCTAGCATGTTTTGAGGCTTTGAAAGATATTTCAACCATCTAGAACAGTGGTGGTGAATTTATGGCATATGTGCCACAGGGGCCTCTTTGTATCATTGAAAGTTCTAAAAATAAATCGCCATCACTAGACTAGAATGTTGTGAGGAAAGAACAGTTTGGGGCCAAGTTTTGGAAAGGTAAGTGTATAGAAATATAATGAAAGCAGCTTTTGATGATAATAAAGCCATGTGTCACTAATTGCCCCCTTAAAAATACCAAAAACAGTATTTTTACTTTCTGCGCCTTAGTCATTTTGCTCTGTGTTACTTTTGCAGAATGTGGTAGAGGCACATGACTCCTTCTTGAGTTTCTTACTTGTGGAATGGTGCACAAGAGGCCCAGCAGGCAGGAGACAGAGAATGTGGCTGTAGTTAAAATGGGATTGAGATGAAAAGATCAATTTGAGAACACCCTGAACCCCCAAGCGCTTGTACTGTGAAGTTGAATGCTGCATCTATATTGCCTGTCATAGTTGCTGGCACTCAATGGGAACTCAGTAAAGTACTTTAAACAATAAATGAACAGGTGGAAGAATGAATCCTTCTCCTCAAATGAAGTCTTTGCTGAAATGTAGTGCAATGCACCTTCTTTATGTACTTATAATCTACAGAAACTCTTCCCTATATGTGGTCTCTCACATTGATGACTGAGATAAAAGAAGGCCTAATGTAAGACACTCCCTGATATCACACTTTTCAGACTTCACAGCTGTGGTAGAAACAGATTAGGTTTGTTACTTGTAGATGTCTTTTTTCTAAAGTGCATCAAGAAATATTTGGAGGTGGAGTAGCTATAAGACCTAGCAAACAATTTCACAACATTGCACTTGTGAGCTGGAAGAAGAAAGGCAGCATTTGATTTCTGGATGAACAGATGTTTATTTTTTCCCTTGAAGAAGCATTGTTTTACTGTAAGTCTTGACAGCACTTGATGCCATCATCTGCTAATCAGATAGATGTGTTTTGTGCCACCATTACTCATGGCCACAGGCGCCTGGGCTTTCCTGCCTCTGGCTGAGTGAGTCATTTGGTTAAAGCACGGGGCTGTGAGGCTGAGGGCCTGAGCTTAGTTGCAGGCCAGTCTAACATCTGTACCATGACCATTTCTGTCCCTGCTACAAGATTTCTGTGTTGGGAGGAAAACAGCTGTGACATGTTAGATTCTTGAGGGCAGATTCTTTACCACTGTTGGTTTTAGACTAGTCATTTGAGCTGTAGAAACAAAGGGTCTTGATTTTCAGTTTAACTCTTTCTAGAATATGTTCTAGGATTGTTTCAGTTTTATTATTTTGGGATGTGTTCAGTACAATTTGAACCTTTGTTGTCCCTGTGTCTGGACTGTTATCATAGCCGATAATCTCTTCAGTGTGTCTATAAAATGAAATATCATTCCTGCCTTGTGAAGTTGTTGAGAGAATTGGATGAGGTCATGTATTTAATGAAAACCAGCAAAACACACTGTAGCTGGGTGGTTGGCCAAACATGCATCTGCCAAAGACTCACCACCTCATATGTATATGGAACCATTTCTGAATTTAACTACAGTTTCTGTGTGATGTATGTAAGGTAACTTATGAATAGTTAAAATCCAAGAGGAAAGATAGAGATTTGGATCCAGACACTCTGATTCTAGACCCTATGGTTTGGATCATCAAAATATAATCTCATACATTTATATCCTACCTCTACCCTAGGAGCATTCTGCTTTATTTTTCATGAAATCAGAAAGTTGCAATTTGAGTTCTAGATGCAGAAGCAAAATTTGTTGCCTGACCTGTGTTTTGACCACATAGGACAATACTTTAAAATGGGCTTGTTTTTAGAAATTTAGGAAATTTACTTGCACAGAGATGGTAATAATTAATGAATTTAAATATTTTAGGAAATATCTGAGGTTGACCTGACACTTAAAAGTGATGAACCAGCAACATAGTGGCCTATTTAAGAGTCAGTTCTGGCCCGGAAGTTAGCAACTAAAATGCTATGTTTAGAAAGTTATGGTTCTATTTATATTAGGTAATTACATCATTTATATATTTTACTTATTTTTAAAAATTTTAATATTTGTGTTTTTATTTTATATTACATACACATTAATATATCACTAGGTTGTATTAATATTGGTATTTGAAAGATACGATTTATTTTTAGCCAGATTATGGGATGCAGAGAGAGCCTCTGTCTACATCTACTATCTCTAAGTTATACCTTTAACTTAGAAAAACAAAAATGCTATCATTTTTTGCTTTCCTTTGGAAATGCTACCAAGGATAACAACAAACAGAAATTATCTATTGAGCTCATACTGTATTTTCAGGACCTTGCTCAGCTAATTGATGGGACAGAGCTCTAAAGCAGATGGTAACTATCCATTTTACTGAAAACAAAATGGCAGCAGAAGTTAAGTGCCTCTAGGTAATAGAGCTAGTATATGACAAAACCAGTGTCTGAACTCAGAAGCATGTGTTTTCTCTACTGTCCTGACTTTTGTAGGGACAGTTAATTAGAAAAAGTGAAGTATGCCCATGCTTATTGGAGTCCTGTTTTGAGACGTATTGTTTGGCATGATTCTTGTAATAGATCATAGTATTTGAAACTAAGACTGTTTCAGAACCTGAGTATATTTCTGCAGTGTATTTCTAACAATGTAATGATAGATTTGACAGACTATTCCAGGAAAAAAATTGATTCTCCTAGCATACCATGGCCTTGGGAGTCAGCTGCTTGTTACACAGTTAAAAAGCTGCACAGCTGTGGACCAGAATGCTTGAAATGTGACTCTGGAGAATGGAGATCATCTTTTATTTATGTTTTATTTCTGAAATATCCTAATCACATTTTATTTGGGGGGATATCACAATTTGATAAATGAGAGGGAATATGCTGAAGAACTTGAGTGAAAAAGAAGTAGATTTTAATTCCATACATGTTAGATCTGTGGTGTTTGGAATATTTGTATGTCCATAATGAGGTATGTTGGGATAGGACCCAAGTCTAAACAATGAAAATCATTTTATGTTTTCTATAGAACTTATTCAAAGCTTGAAGGTAATTTTATATAGTGTATTTATTGTGTCTGTGTTTTGTCTGTAATCCATGACATGAGTCCTGGAGTAGAATTTTCCACTTATTATATTATCAGTGTTCAAAAACTTTCTAATATGGAGCAGTTTAGATTTTTGATTTTCAAAGTAGGGATGCTCAACCTGTAATGTGCATGCTCGATTTATTTTGAATTAGCATGTACCATCTTTCTGCAAATTTAATCACTGTGTTTTTGCTGGAATCTTAAAGGTACTGTGCCATCTCATGGATAATAGTGGATAGTTTTGAGGTACAATCATAGGTGGAAGGTCAGAAGCTGAAATGAAGCTCAATGGCTAGCAAAGTGATGGGAAAAGCTTAGGAAAGGTGTTTCTAGCTAATGTTCATGGCTAAATATGAATTTGGAAGCCCGTGTTTCCTGCAGAACCATTTTGTAGTGAAATAAACTTTACTTTGCAGTTGAGTAGAATTCCATTTAAACAGTAGGTCCACTTACTAGTTGTGTAGTTGAGCACATAACTTAAATGGTCTGAGTCTCAGTTTCCTGCTCTAAAAACATTATTTCATCATCTTACATTGTGGCTCCAAGTAATAAAGAATATATTAAACTGACCAGCATTGTGCATTGCACAGAGTCACTGTTAAGAAAATGTTCTTCTTTTTTCTTCTCTCTGCCTCCTTTTCTCTTGGCTACCTCTCTTGGCTCTTGAGGGTAACAGTGGTAAATTAATATACATAATACATGGTAGTGAATATTCTAGTAGAAGTACACATAGCTTATCCTGAGATCATAGATAAAGCAACTGCCTAGAAGAGTCTGAAAGTGAAAAATGAGCTACCCATTTTTTAGCAGTTTGCTAGGTTGGGAAGGGAGTGAAGGGGAGAGGACAAGCTGAGAGACTTTATGTTGAAAGACATGGAAAGAGGAAGAACATGGAAGCAGGGAGAGATTAGGGTTATGGATGAGGTTCTGACCTGAAGTTGAAATCAGGCACAAAGTTACCCTTCATCTTAGAGGCTACAGGAAACTAATGAAAATTCTCAATATTGTGAATGAAATAGCTAAATTTTTCTTTAGAATAGCAACATTGCCCGAAGTATCAGAGGTGAATTTGGTTGATTAGTACACTTGCTTGAACTTGTGGGTTCAGGTGAGATACCACATTTTAAAACTTCATTGTTGAAAGTTAATGTAGTTGAAGACATGGTCTTGGTATTTAAGACTTCTACAAAGAGGTATATAATATGATGGAAAATGGTGATTCTGTATAAGCTGGATCACATTGGAGTCAATTTTTTTTTTGTCTTTTTCCTTTTTTATTGGTACCAGGGATTGAACTCACGACTGCCTGCTTCCAAGGCAGGCGCTTATGCTGCTGAGCTAAATTCCCAGCCCCATCCAAATTATTCTTAAAAGATGAATATATCCCAACTTTGGGCTAAACATATTCACTATTTTAATAAAGGATCCAGCTGTGTTTTTGGCAAAATTATTGAGTCTTGAACAAAAGATAGACAAGACAAAACAAAACTGTTCCAGGCCCCTTTTTATGTTTCCAGAATTAAATGTAAGATTCTAGGAACAGTTGATACCTAATATATGTTGAATTTGATTAGTGCTTTCTAGATTTTCTCAAGCTTGGTGAGCATTATTATGGTTAGCAGTTTCTGAGTTTCTTGTGGGGAGGAGCAGGGAGGATTGGGCTACAAAATTTGTTATCTGTGTGAAATTTTAAGAAGCTGGGTAGCTCTTCTCTCCAAGCAGTCAGAATAGGACACAAGTAGACACAAGTATGTG